GGTTACTGGACCTTACTAGGGAAAAGTGCCGCTGGAAACTTACTTCTTTATATATTTAATCGGGGCAGCTGTTCTCCTGTGGCTTTCAGATGTTCAGCGTGGTAAAAGGGAAGCGTTAACTGCACACAGCTACTTTCAGAAAGACTGGAGATTGTAATGTTTCCTTTTAGGGTTTTGTATATTGTTAAGGATTTATTTTCTTTTTCGGCAAAACTGTAACACAAATGCTGCAAGTAACTACCCTTCATAGCTAGTGGTTACATTTTGGATCTGAAATCAGGGCACTCCAAAAAGTGGGAAAGAGGTTAAAGCAGTGCTGAGACTCATGTGCTTCGAAACATTGGCACTGAGCTCTGCAACAGCCCTAGCACAGGCAACCAGTGCACACAGTGACCTGAGGAAGGCTGAGATCCACCGGGGGGGGCAGAAGTCAGTTCACAAGAATTATCAAAATGCAAGTCAAAGTGAGTGGGGGAAAAGGCAGGACTACGCAAGGCTTTTTTCCCCCCTTTGCTTTGTGCTTGTCAGGCAAGAAAGGATACATGAGCATGTGAAATCTAAATGGCAATACTTTGGTTTTCTGTGCTTAGTCCTCTTTCACTGATAATTTACTACTTTTATTCCACAATGATATTCTGTCCCAAATATGCTTTTCTTGGCCCTACTTTACAGAGGGGGCTTTATACAGCAGTAACAATCTAGTGTGCCACAACTTCCTTCCAGACTAGCAACATTGCCACTGCTATCACCATCAGCTGATTCATCAGTAAAGAAAAAAAGTTTTATTGTCAGACAGGAAGACATGTTAAGGGGGTCCCATCCAAATCTTACCTTTTTTTTTCCCCCCTTTTAAAACCTGCTATGAAATAAAATATACTTAGAAAATCCAAGGGGACACTATACAGGAGTGGAATGAGATTCAGATTGTCTCTGATAAATAGGACTCATAGTCCTGAATAAACAAAATTAAAACTGTCATAAAAATAAGGACAATAATTAAGAATTACAGTTCAATGAAAAATTGAAAATAGGAAACAGTCATGCGCTCCTTTTACTTAAAGATGGGGGAAGGCAAATCTCATTCTGGCAGACGTAAGCAGTAGCATATAGGGGTGCATTTCTGTATTTGTACCGACCTTATGTTCTACTTGGTGAAGCCTCTGGAAGTTTCATGTACAGGAAGGTTAATAAAAGATGCTGACAAATAGAAGAGGATGCACAGGGGAATGACAAGCTTGATAAAAGTTGAGGATATATGGCTGTGAAGAAAGCATGAAGGAATTGGGTTTATCTAGATAAAAGAAATCTAGGAACAAAGAGTAATGAGCATTGCAAATACACATCTTCACTGAACTATTTCTACCTGAGAATATAATTTCAAGTCAATACATGCTTCCCTTAGTGACAGAACTCAGTCATCATTTTTTTTTTCTCTCTGAGTTGCAAATGTTGGCTTATGATGAACAGTTGCTTCCCTTTATCCGTCAAAGGACAAGTGGAAATCTACCTAATTGCTGTGGAGAAAGTTTAGGAGAACTTTCAGTAGAACTTTCTCACTCTTCAGGTAATGAATCACTAGACTTGGGATTGGCTACTAGGACTGCATAATTAACTTCATAAAAACTTATAGTGAAGGAGGGTAAGCACTTAACAGGGAAGACTGAGGTTTATTTTGTTTCACTTCAGTGTAAGTGGTTAGACTAGGGATCTACAAAAGTATCTCCTAGTCCTGCATAATGATAGACAGGAAGAAAGAAAACATACCCTAAAGTTTCATTAATGTCTAACTCCACTTCTATCTTTTTATTCTCAATCCTCTCCCTTCTGCTGCTGATGGTCTTGTTGCTGGTACTGATCAAGGGTGCTCATCTTTGTTACTTTCAGCAGGTTTCTGTCCCACTAGTGTTTCTTAGGTATCTAGTCCTGTAGTGATTTTTTTCTGGATTGCATATGTTGGTTTATAGGTCTAAAGTATCTATGCATGAATTCTAATTACAATGGCTTAACAACAGGTTGGGAGGTATTAAAATTACTTTGTCTTGTCTAAGATGTGTACAAAACCCTTCTTCATAAAGCAGCAGATCAAGTCTATGCTACCACAAAAGAGGCTCAAAACACAGGAGGATGTAGGGCAGTTTTCAAAACAACAATCCTGCAAAAATAGCATGGCTCTGAGATCTTGTGAATATATGCTGTCAATATTTTGTCTTGTCTTGCACTGTGCTTAAAGTCTGCAGAGAGATGCCAAATTGATGCAGGTATTAGTATCTGAAAAATTTATTTCGAAAAAATGATGAACTCCCAGGTTCTGCATGTAGTTTTAGTTTTTTTTACCAAGACAGGAACAGAATTTCTATGTTAATATTGATATAGTATTCACTTGTTTTGACACTACTCAAGTCAAATGCATATTCCTCCTTGGCCTTATCAAAATTAGCATGAACTTTCAAATTTAGGGTTATTTTGTTCTTAAATCTTTAGACACGTAATTTCTTTCTTCTACTACTCATTCTTCAACACTTAAATGAATAACAATAAATAAAAGCTACTTTTTACCAAGGCAGGCAAAGCATCATCATCTCAAAAATATTTTCCTTTTTAAGGCAATGATAGTCTTGCTAATTGTGGATAGCATCACTGAAACTTAAGGTTGCTACAGTATGCTTGCACATCACTTTTTGTAATTGTAAAAAATTCATAGTCCTCTGTTTCAGAAAGAGCTCAAATGCACTTTAAAATGCCGCTTTCTACAACAAGAGTCAATTTAATATTGTTTGCACATTTTTTTTAATGCAGCAGTTATATTTATCCTTAGCAACAAGTCATCTGCTTGCATGAGCTGAATCTCTATTGTCTACTGGCACTGGATGCCAGCTTGAAACCTTTATTTGAAATACATAGCATCAATGACAAATGTGAGGCTGCATGTAAGAAATAGAAGACTGGAACCATGATCAGAGAAAACTTTGTAATTGGATAGTAAAAATATTCACAGGCATTAATTTGAAAGGTTAATAGGCACTACAGCTAGTTTTACTTGAGAGAATAGCATGAGGTTTACCTTTGCAATTTTACAATCATAAAGAAAATTCACCATGCAGCATTTACAAAAATAAGTGACAGGATTTCTAAAAAAAAGAAAGATCTGAAGAGCTGAAGCTACAAAGTATTGACACAAAGTAACATGTGTATACAAGGCCAAATTTAACAAACAACTATGCACATGCTTATATTATATTCCCTTGGGTGGTCCTGTTTCCTTCTGTAAAACTATTCATGCTAACAGAGTGCAGCATGTGTGTTCACAGGAAGAGAGTTTGAGGTATCATAAATAAAACTTCTTATGCAATATGTGATAAAGTTGTTTTTGCATCAGTATCGAGCTTAGAAACACAAAACACGTTATTGGACCTGACCTGTGGACAGTGCCCTGTCCCCACGAGTGACCTGTGCTACATAATTGAATCATATACACCATAGTGGCAGATACCAGATAGTCTTTGACAGGTAGTCAAGTAGTGTTATATCCTATTCAATTCTTAACCTCTGAGCCATCCTATGCCAGTCCACACTTTTTTTTTTCATTAAAAAAAAAAAAAGAGAGAAAATCCCCAAGCTTCTCTGTTTTTAAAAAACACTTTCATTTGCTTTTCTGTTAGCAGGTTGAATAGACAGACACTCCGACTTTATTGTCCCTATTCCAGTTGCCATTTTATATACATATTTTGGCACATTAGCTTGTCTACTTTTTGAATTTAATATTTTCAATCTTCTCTTCATACATTTTTCCATTCAATTTCCTCTTTTAAATCTGCAACATTCTTTCTTCAAAAGGAGTCTCCAGTAGCATATACTGTATTTCAGAAGGAATAAGTGTTGTGGGCATTTTGATCTATATGTATTTTTGATCTATATAGACATCCTATATATGACTTTTTTTTTCCTCTGGAAGGTTGCACATTGCACTGCATATTGCTAGTAGTCAAGTTCCTCATCTGTGCAAACATCAGTGTGCTAATCTGCATTTTACAATTTAGTTAAGATTAACTACAATTTTTTTCCAATGAATATTACTTACTTTTGTTAACCTCAATGTGCTTAGCTGTCTCTGAAGCTTCTTTCAAGACTGTCTCGCTCTGAAATAACCTGTAGATTCAGGAAGATGGCCAAGTTTTCAGTTGTCTCAGTACAGATTCAGGGTAACTATAGCTGGGCTGTGTGCATAGGATGTTGTAAATTAAACCATAAACTACAGCCTGAAGTTCAGTTCTGGGTCAAGCACAACGCTAAAATACCGCGTTGGCTCCCGAGCGCGCGACGACCGGCGCGGGCAGCAGGTACCGCC